TTTAACTTCCCATTGGCTACTGATAATAATAGATCTAACTTCCCATTGACTACTGATAATAATAGATCTAACTTCCCATTGACTACTGATAATATTTGAACATGAAAACAATGATGCGGGTTTATTTTAAGAAAGTTGATTACATAATTAATGATATAGTGAGTATTATATGCTTGCTCTGCTTATCGGTACTGACATTCTAACCTTATGCTTTCTAGGAATGTGAGAATGTCTATCTTGTATTCTCTGTACAAGCGAGTGGACATTTTCAAGGCTATGCTACCATGTCATCAGAAATAGGAAAAGAGAAGTCACATGAAATGGGAATTGGATCCTCAACACCACTTGGAGGCATATTCAAAGTGAAATGGATAAAGAGGTATGCATAATATATATGATTGTTTTTTGCATGACATGGTGAGTACAACTTACCCAGAAATAAATTGTTAATAGTTTTATTTAACCTTCATTGCTATTAAAACAATTTATGACTTGTTTACAAACATAATAACATTGTCTGTTTCCTTTCAGGGCTAATGTTTCATTTCAGCAAACCTCACATCTCAGCAATCCATGGAATGAAAACAGAAAAGTAAAAGTTGCCAGGGATGGACAGGTAAGACTTGCATGTTACAAAACTTAAAATAGTGATTGAATATCACATATCATCATTTTGTATCATCAGTTCCCTCAAATTATCAGCAGCTTTCATATCAGGTCTTACAGTGTATGAGCAACCAATCAGATTACCATAGATGACAATGTTACTATTTACTATCTACACAATAGAAACAGGTTTCAGTACTAAAAGTATTGTTCAAATTAGCAAACTGTAACCATTTTTAGCTAGAAATACAAACTCCTACACGATGGATTGAAACAAAAAAACACAGATTTGTCTGGAATTCTACCTTCAAGTTTCTCAAAAAGGCGACCATTTTAGTTTTGTTGAACATTACCCAGATTCACAAGTCACTGGTACTTACGAATAATAAACAAACCTTCACATACTTGTCAGCTGACAAATTGAAGTGAGCCCTCACACATACAAGAAAACAAACCCATTGGTTCATTGGGACCATATGATCTGTCACTGATAATAAACAAACTACAATGGACCACCTAACTTACTGATCTTTCATTATATGGCAGGAATTAGAACCATCTATTGGTGATAAATTGCTGCAACTATGGTCAAAAGTTGAAGAATACAAGCATGGATCTGGTGATGCCTCATCTCGTACAACTCCAGCCAACTCTCCACCCAATCACAGCCCAGGACCAAAAGGTGGAAAGGGAAAAAACAGTGATAAATCGAAATCACCTCAATTTCATACACAAACTCCTCCCATGACCCCACAATATCCTAAAAGTTCACCTCTGCTCGGTACAGTTCCACCGTTCTCTCCCGCTCATCCTCAGGTATATCAGACTCCAACTGGATCGCCGATACCACTTGCGCACTCATCTCCATCTCATTATCCTGGAATGGTTTTCCAGCCACGTGGTGCATCCGGTGATTACTTCAATGCAGGTGCAATGTCACAGCTTTCATTAGGTAACAATGCTCCCATGATGCATCCTAATATGTACAACCAGTATGGACAAAAAGGAGGTAGTCCTGGCAATAGAGGGGGTATTCCTGGCAATAGAGGGGGTAGTCCTGGCAATAGAGGAGGGTCTCGTAGAAATGGTGGACAACATAGAAATAAATCCTATGATAAATCAGACAATAAGAAATAATATGCAGAAGACGCACATTGTAATAACTAAGGTTGGTTAGTGGTTTGATCATTTGCATGTACATTTATATACAGGTCATGGTTCATTAATAGTATTTTTTTTTTTGCCATTATTCTTAAGGCATCTACAAAAATTTTAAAATTCAGTTGCCAATTTTTATTTATTGTTTAGTTATATTTTTAATGTTTTTTTTTTATAATTGTGAATATATCTTTTATCTATTCACGTTTTCATTACTGACATGTGGCAATGTAATGTATAGCCTCAATATGCTTGAAAAGTGTAATTAAAAAAAATGATGTCTAACATTATCAGGGGTAAGTAAAAGAGATATTGTTCGATCCATCTATGTATTTTAGTTAAATTTGAACTAATAATACTGATTTTTCAAAACATTCTTCAATAATTTGACATGTGTAATGTTTATATAAAGACATTGGTTTAAATAACCATTTTGGATTTGTTATATTCTAACTTTCATATGGAGAGACATGTAGTATTGTGTTATGTTCAATGTAAAGAGGGATGTGTGGTAAGAGAAAATTGCTATGGCAACTGAATAGGTTGCTAGTGTATAATGAAACCATTTTATTTTCAATGGCATTTAATTTCACTATTTTGATTTTTGAGCAATTTCATTGAATTTGAGTTTATGAACTTGTCAGGAAAGCAATGAGTTCTATTGTTATTTTACAAGTTAACACAAATTTAATTTAGTGAATTTTACTTATCAGTGAAAAAAGCAAAATTAAAAGCCAATGAATAATTGATGTATTATATATTCAAAAAAAGATCATTTGGTGAAATATTTTGGCATCTCAGCTCATCACTTAAGCAATATTAGGTTTTGATTCATGGCAGCAGCAGCATTAAATAATGTACATTATTCACATTAAAAACTTGTATACTGCCCTCTGTTGTCATCTGTTGAGTACAGTTTATCATTTGTTTTTATAATATTAATGATTTTCAATTGTATTAAAGAAACCATGACCATAATTAACTACATGTACATTGTTGTACTTTTTTACTATTTGATTTTAATAACTTAAAAAATTGTAAATAATCATCCTCCAGCCCCGCAATAAATTACGTTTCCATCTAAGTCGTGTTATAGATGGTGGTTGACCAATCATATGACTTGTTACATTTTATTAACGAACCACAGGGACTGTTATAATGGAATTTGATTTGTATCTCTGGTCACCTGTATTAAAAAAAAAGGTCTCAATAATTTTGATTATTTAATTATGAACTATTTAATTTATTCATATTCACAATTAATTAATTTGACCATATTCTTAACTAGCTTGGTGGTCATTTCATCTAACTTTTGAAATAATTGTGTAGCATGGATGAATGCTTTTAATAGATTATTAGTTATGAATATGTATTTAAAGGCACATACTAAATGAGCCTTTATGGCAAGTAAACTACTTTCTTTTTGCTAGCCCTTTATTTAACTTTTGAATGCCAATTTTAGCAAATGTAATTAATTTTTGATCAGGTCCTGAACCGTATGGGAAATTGTTAACAAAAATGTTTCACCAACAAAATATTATGGAACTGAAAAGTACTGAGTGCGAGTGCTGGCAATCATACAAGTCATATTATAATAACCAGGCAGTGTCACTTTATGAGCTAACATTTCCTGACCTTTAAACCCAACATCTCTGAATATGACAATGTATTTGTAATGAAAGTTGTTACAGAACTTGTCTGTTTTGGGGGGGACTATTTTGTGGAAGGTTACAAAAGTTGACAATGGTGGTGAATGGGTTTTTAATGCCCCATTACTGCCCCCCCCCCCCCCAAATTGCTGAAATATCTGAAGACAACTGGGATTTATATTGTCTCTAAAACCTTTTGAATGCCAAAGTAAAGTTTTGTAATTTCTCACAAATGACCCTGGATATTTTCAAGACCAGTAGCCAATTATGAACAAGTAAAAGTTGTAAAATCATGTTTTTGGGCATTATCACCCAAAACAAGCCTGACAATATAAACAAAGGTTCAGTTCTATAATACCTGGAAGACTCAAAACTGAACAAGCCTGAGAATATTGTTTAATTTACAGATTGGTATTCAAGGTATTTCATGCAAATCTTTGAAAATGAGACTGGAAAAATTGTTCATTTTGAAATAATTTACAAATAGATGAGTTTGACCATTTTTTACTGTATCCCATTTAAGGGTAGTCTGATTTTCTTTTTAGGAACTATGGCAACTCTGTCACAGATGTTCTACCAGAAAAAAAAATGTTTCCTGTTCAATTTTAAATAAAATTCAGGTGTATAAGTTTAAAGAAACTTGTGTCTGTGTGCTGTTTCTTTTTCTTTATTACCAGTGTAATCATTATTAACAAGGTACCTATTTAAACCTTAGGACTGTTTTTATTTTATGATTTGATTCTGGATCAATCAAACAAGAATATTTGATACATCTAAAAACAATTGAATTTACCATCAAAAGCCTGACTTTATATGAACATCACCGACATTAAATGCATTCAGGATTATTGATGTTGCTCTCCTTTCACATTGGAAATGGAATGACTAGTAGTGTAACATTCACCATTAAATGCATTCAGGATTATTGATGTTGCTCTCCTTTCACATTGGAAATGGAATGACTAGTAGTGTAACATTCACCATTAAATGCATTCGGGATTATTGATGTTGCTCTCCTTTCACATTGGAAATGGAATGACTAGTAGTGTAATATTCACCATTAAATGCATTCGGGATTATTGATGTTGCTCTCCTTTCACATTGGAAATGGAATGACTAGTAGTGTAATATTCACCATTAAATGCATTCAGGATTATTGATGTTGTTCTCCTTTCACATTGGAAATGGAATGACTAGTAGTGTAACATTCATTTAAATTGTATGTATTCTTGTGATTAACCCTTGTAATATAAAAACAATCCCTCATTAACGTATCACAATGTAAATATTACAATTAATGTAAATATACAGTACTGAAAAGCTAAGGTAAAGTAAGAGTATTTTTGATATCATACAAAATGACTTCATTGGATAACTTCTGAATTGGGTTAAAATATGCCGCAATATTTATGTAACAGTTTATGTCAAAGTGTGTTATGCGAGGGTTCCTTCATTACAAATATACTATGTGATGGTTACTGCATATAATCACGGCAATTTCCATAAATCTGAAGTACAAATATTAAAAGTTCAAATGACATTACAAAGCTGGACAATATCCATAGACACAAATAAATTTTAAATTATAATATATTATTGTGATGCTATACTTTAATTAAAATAAAATCATGATTACAAAAAAATCAAGTATAAAAAAAATGATTGTCATATTTGCAGAAAACATCTGAATAAAATGCACCATGTTTTTGAGTTGCATGGCAACAGCTGATAATAAACTGATACAAATAAATTATTGGTCAAAGTTGTGAAATCTGTTACTAGTGTAGAACATATTCTTTGATAATTATCATAGATCTTGAAATATACATTTTTGTATAAAAAGATGTCAAGAAAAAAAAAGTAAGTATAATTACATATAGTTTTTCAAGAAATATATTTTTGTTAAACTCCTTCTGAATGGCTTATTTATAGTACTGATTGCTTAATCAATGTTTATATATTTACATAATATACAGTATAAAAAATGAAATGGAGAATTTGATTTTGACAAATGAGGTGTGTGCTGCACATCAACTACAAAATATTGATAGTTCTCGTCATCCAGATTACATGTATGTGCATTTTCTAGTATTGCCAATAGGTGGCGCTATGCTGCTGCAAGTACTTTACTACTTGGCCCATTCCCACTTTTCAACCATAATATTTTTTACTTAGAGTAAAACAAATCAATCTATGATAAATTTAAAAATAAATTCTCTGTTTTTAATATAAAAGTTTCTTCATATACAAATTTCCAAAAAAAAAATAACATGAGTGATCCTGATTAAATCAAATTCTGTGATTTAATAATATATTAATTATGTACGCCATAAGTGGAAGAAATTTAACATTATAAAAATTGCAAAATGTTCATACTCCCCAATTTAACGCCTCTCGTAAATCATTTTGAACTTTCTGCGCTAAATCCAATCGTTTACATTTATGTAACGAAGACCGCAGCAATCCCACTTTTTTTTCATTGTCACCTTTAGTTTTCTGTCGCCATGTGATAAGCACCTGTTTAGCTTGGGCTGGACGATCGTCACGATAGTTAGAGCGTATTTTGCGTACGCTAACATCTCCCACATTCAGGTAAACAGAGAGCGGTTCAACAACGTCTGTCAGATGCCGAGATAGCTTATCAAATGCAGCTTCTGACAAACATGCTGTGAATAATGAGATATATAATTAAAATACTGCGATTAGTGAAATAATGTGGTTACATATATTAATACAACAGAAATGTAGACATAAAGTTTTAGCAATCCAACAAGTTTATGTCAACCAAGGCAAAGCTTAAATAGCTGCAAAAACATAATTTGCTCTCCAGCAAGATAGTTAAATAGTGAAAGAAATCTTGGCAAATGAGTTATTTCATTATTGTCACGTAATTCCTGGATAAAGGAACTTGGAAGGAAATAGATATTGGAATAAGTCTCCATATAAATGCATGAATGTGATCTGATCTGTCATGGTCTTTAATATACAATAGAGTATAATATATACAAAACTTGAGCTAGGCCAGGGTTGATAAATGTGTACAGCTTTCATTGCAGGAGTTCATACTGTATTGTATTGTTATTCCAAATACAATAAATATTTTGTAACAATCTCCATATCCTGTTAAGTAGTTATGTCATCATACTTTTAATGTTTCACTTGTATTTATAATCTATTGTCCATTTCAGAATTATGAACAAGCTTAGATATGCAACCTTTCAGAAGCCATGATGTTTGAAGACAAACAAAAACAGCACACTGTGACCAAAACTCAGTTTCCAGTAAAAATAATACTGGTAATTTAATCTAACCAAAATGAATGTGTGACACACAAAGAGTCATGAAAAACAAGCCATGCATGCCACAGTCCGTGTTAGTTTTCAAATCTAAGTTATATAGTTTTGTTTATAGTAATATAGTACTTGTTCATAATTAGAATTAATTGCTCTGGAACAGCATTAATTAAAAACAAAATGGCCACCATTTGGCGATTTTTCAGTACAAAAAAGGCCGCCATTTGGCCATCTTTTATCAGATCATGCATATGTATAATAGTATGTATGATGTATGTGTGAAGTGTGAATGTAATCGGATCAGGCATGTCTAAGATATAGGTCTGACCACACACAGACGCATG